CCCCCCTAGTGATGCCCATTATAAGAACCGTAGGAAGCGGCAGAGGGCCCTGGAAGAAAAGGGTGGAATTCATCAGCTTCCCTCTTCAGTTATTTCAGTTAAGCATTGAAAATGAGAAGCTGGTTTCCATGGGTAACTACTCCAGATTCTGCTCCAGTTTTTATGAACCCCCCCCCATTGGGCGTTAAGCTTTTCCAGATTGGGCGATCTGATAGCGCAAGACGCCACACAGATAACAACAGGAAGCAGATAAAAGGAGGATGGTGGTGTATGATGTCGTAGAGGATACATTGGGCAATAAGCTTTCCCTGACTGGGCGATCTGATGGCACAAGACACACAGAAATAAACAGGAAGCAGATAAAAGGAGGATGGTGACGTATGATGTCATAGATGATACTGCATTCCGATGGCCAAAACTGAAAACACCCAAAGCTTGAAAATACATGAAAAACACGGAAAAAAAGCTTCAAAATCACCTGAAGATGCTCACAAGTGCGAATGGGGGCCTAAAGGGTATGCCCAGTTTCTAGCAAATGTGTGAAACTGAAATTACCCCCATACATTGGTTGTGCCCCAACCCCTCCCTCAGTAGTCATGCCACTGAGGAAAGGAAACCTCTGTTTCCCCAATGAACGATGCATGTCGTGTACACCGTACGTATCCTTGCAGCCCGGTACTCTGTATATGCAATAATGCTCACAAAGGTCGAGCAGTCATTGGTCAGTGCAGTCACCTGACCAATGAGAAGCACTTGCTAAGCAGTTTTCATTGGTCAGGTGATCACGCTGACCAATGATTGCTCGACCTTTGTGAGCATTATTACATACACAGAGTACAGGGGTGCAATGCTGTGTACACAACATACTATACATTGGTGGAGGAACAGCAGTTTCCCCAAAGGTTTGACTTCGGAGGGGGCAATTTGTGGGGTAATTTCAGTTTTCCACATTGGCTGGGAAACTGCAATTGCCCTTTAGGCCTCATTCACACACAACGCAAGAGCAAAATTGTATATTGCGCATGTACGTGCTTATATGCGCGTATGTATACGCAAATACGCGCGTATATGCGTGCACCATATGCAATCCCAGAATGCATCATTTGTAATAGAAATTTGAATGAACTGTACATGCGCGTAAAATACGCTGCCTGTACGCATCTCGATTCCATTATGTTTTTTGCGCATTTTTACGCTATGCAAATATACGGCTCCATACGCAGCTATGTGTATGGGGCCATTTATTTGCATACGCTGCATATGGTACAATACGCACGTAGGCGAGTATATGCGCGGCAGTGTGAATGAGACCTAAAGAGATATCTATAATGAACGTATCCGTCCCCATTCACACCGGAGCGTGAACGTTTCCAGACGGTTTTTCCATGAGCCCAAAAAATGTGCGATTGTACCCCCCCAAAAAAACAGCTGATGTATTTTTTTTGAGCAACAAGCGACACAACGCTCCGGTGTGCACGGGCCCCATTAGAATACGATGGGATTCGTCATGCTGAGCTTTGTCACGCTTCTGTAAACACGCTCAGGCGTGAATGGGGGGGAGGGGGGTACCTAGCATGCAGACCACATGGAGCTGATCTTGCGATCCTTCTATTGAAAATAATATATACGATTGTTGCATTCTCATGTATGTAACCACACAGCATATCGATACATATTAACCATATTAGGTGCATGGGACTCTGTGCAGAATCGAAGGGGTGTGGGGGGGTCTGATATAGGGAGCTGGGCTGGTCCATGTGGATACAATAGTGGGGGGAGCCAGCAGGGCAGGGTGTGACTCTGCATTCATTCTCCTCTCATTGTTATCCCAGCTAGAGGAAATCTATAGAACCTAAAAGCAGAATCTCCCTGTGCTAACACCTCCTGTGAATGTGACCCAGCCCCCCCCC